GCGGGGAACTCTGCAAAAAACGCATTTTCGCACGGGCAGCCCGTGCGTTGGCCAATTTTTGCAATTAGCAAAAACGCATATTGGGAAGAGGCTGTGTGTATGTTCGCACTTTTTGTCACCCACTTTCAACTCGAGAACCAGAGTAATTCAAGTCCGATGCAAAAACGCATGATCGTACGGACCCGCCTGGTGTGTTCCATTCTGGGTCAAACTTTAGGCTATAGTATTTACTGCATAATGCGTGTATTCATATTTGTATTCAAAAAAGCTGTTAATTTAATATCTTGCGAAATGAGTTAAGTCAAACCTGTTTGCTTTCCACGATATCTTCCAGATTAGTATTCACCTTCGATTTCTGGTCTTCATCCTGCAATACATCAAACTTGCGTTCGTTTATTTGTTTTTGCTGAGTCACCGTAAATAATACACTGCAAAACATTTTTTGGGCGATCCACAAATTGACCACCGTGAAATTAGACAGCAAACGGCAGGAAAGAAGGAAAAAAAGGTGCACAATAAGAGCGGAAATAGCTCTATTACGCGAAAGCGCATCGATTCTTTGCAATAAAATCGCCCGGGTGCTCCTCAAATATCCCTGCAAACTTTGCACATTTTTCAAAACCCCCGCGTTTTCTTTTAGAGATCTTCCATAATATTTCTGGAAACAGTAGACAAATATGTCTAGAAGACAATGTGCCTAGAAAGCTCTCATTCGTTTTTAGTTTCCACGCCTGGATCTCGGCTTTTCAATTAATTATTTTGCTCTTACCGTCTGTTTTTTTCCTTCTTTATCAGAATCCCAGTCACTTAGAACATCGTCCATTGTAGGATAATCGCCTTTGCCACGTGTTTCCTTACCTTTCGCTATCCTTTCCTATATGAAAATTTACTGGTTTCCTTGTGAACTATTACAAGAAGTTAACAGAAATGTAAATCACTAGGCATGCTTTCACGCTTTAATCACTTATTCTAGCTGAGGGCGCAAGCAGCTCTTTAACAAAATTTAAAAACACAGCCCAAGCTGCCTGACTTGTTTGGCGTACTGAGAATTGGCACAATTTATAGACTGAGGCTTCTGTGATTTACTGACTAATTTTGATGGTGAGTTCGCATTCGTAATTCAAGATCGCTACCAGCTTGCTCCTAAGCAACACTTGCAGAAAGCAATCACCGAAACCTGTGATTGTGTTTTGTTTTCGGTGGCAGCATTTCTCTACTCAGATTAAGATTTTCAAATGCATCCCTCTCCTTCATAAAGTGGAAAATGCAGAGAATTTTTAATTTTGGAATCTAGAGCTACTCATATTTTCAATACACTTACATTCCTGTTACTGTTCTTTACCCATATTCTACTGAATTCGCTAGATTCGGGCACAGTTTCGTAGATTTAGCATAACTTTTTTGGGCTTGTTTGGTTGATACCTACGCTGCGGGCAAATTTATGCACTAGCTTCTGTAACTCCCACAAATTTTTGGTCGATTTTTTTAATCCTTTTTTTTTTTGCAGAGCAATTTCGGCTGCTTCAGTCTTTCTTGCCCCTTTCTTAATATGCCTTCTATTGCATAAATTTGCCTCAGTAAAATGAATATTCTTCTATACTGAAAGAAATAGTTCTTCTCTGTTTTATAAATTTCTCTCAGCGAAATGTATACTAGAATGCCCAAAACACGACTGGGAACTTCAAACGTCCGACAGCTCATTTTAAATAAATATGAAAGTCTGTGACAAGCGTTAGCCACTGATAATGCTTTCTGACTCAAAATGGAGTTTTCCTTTTGCACTGTGTAACCGCAGCACAAAACGCATACTGTAACGGAGTCGTCTGCGTGTCTGTGTCCCAGATTTTGTTCCGCACTTTCAACTCGGAAACCATAAAAGCTAGGTAGCTGAGATTTTAATAGAGTGTTCCCCGCCAACGCGTGACCCCGTAAATTTAAATTCAGCCTTTCCGTGCCCGTGGGTAACACGTACCGTCCCGTAGAATTTTTGGTGGCTAAAATTATTATCAAAGGAACCAAGGAAGCTAGAAGGCTGAAATTTTGTTGGCATGCCCTCTGCCCACATGCGACTCAGAAAACTTAAATTCGGTTCTCCTGTGCGCTTGGGTATCACTTATCATGAAGATTTTGGTGGGAAAATTATCTCGGTAACCATGAAAGCTAGGAAGCTGGCATTTAACGAGAATGTCTCTTTCCCACGTGCACCCCGCCATAAGCTTATGCAAGGCGGACTTCTGGGGAGGGCAGGGAAGAGTGGGGTCCTGGGGGGCGGGAAGAGGGGAGGTGGGAAGAAAGTGGACTCCTGGCGGGGAACGACTGAAGGTGGGAGAAGGAGAAGCCTCCTTCCACCCTGGAACTATGCAAAAACTAAGAATAGAGTTGTAACATTGTTATTTGGGGTCACTTTAGTTTTATTTGTGAACAGGCCAGGGCTTTTGCAGCACTGGTGCCTATCCCGCTGAAATGGGCGGGGGGAGGGGGTGAGGAAGGGAAGAAGACTCTTCGCCTCCCCTCCCCCCCCTGGATTCAATAATGAACACTGTAAATTTAAAGTCAGTTTTCAGTCAATCAGTCAAGATCGTAGCATGAAAAATTGCTATCTTGGAAACCATAAAAGACAGAAAGTCGAAATTTTGAAGGAATGCGACCTCGCGGGATTAAATTCAACTTTCATTTACGCTTGGGCCTCATGTGCGGCCTCGCGGAAACTTTGGTGGGAAAAATTGTTATCTCGGGAACCAGAAAAGCTGTGAGGCTGAATTTTCAGGAG